GAATAATAATCAAGTGAGTGAAAATTACCTCAAACATCGCCTCAATCCGAGCTCCCAATCACAAAATATGATAAAATAAGCTCAAAGTCCCGGAAATGACAACTTATAACTATGCCCAGTTATACCCTTTGCGAACCGGCCCAAGCCTCGCGTTCCCGAAGTACAAAAATCCACAGCCAAAATTAACCCTTCACAAACGTGGCGCCCAGCCCGCAAATTCGATGAACAAAATCCAACAGGCCTACACGAACGTAGTAGCCATCCCGCAAACGCAAAGGTTAATGCCTGGACAGCTCCCAGCCTTCCTCGCACTACGCGAACGCAATGCTATGGTCATGAACGCGAAGGCCACTGTTCACCAAACTTCACGAACGCGACATACCAATCGCGCGAAGAGCAAAATGAAACTGCCCCAAAATAGCCTTCGGGATCGCAAAGCACACCAGCAAATCTTAGTAGTCCACCCAAGCTCAAGTGATTGGAATTCCATCTGAAACACTTCCGAGCCCCTCGGGACCCTGTCCAAACATACCAACCAATCCTAAAACATAACACGGACCTACTCGAGGTCTCAAATCCTACAAACTAACATCAAAACCACAAATCACACCTCAATTCAAGCTTAATAAACTACTCAAACTTCCAACTTTCAAAACTCACGCCGAACCACACCTAACCAACTCGGAATAACCCCAACGTTTGCACATAAGTCCTAGCGTAACGAACCTATTCTAACTTATGGAACAATAATCTAAACCCAATAACATCAAAGTCAACTCCCGATCAAACCTATGAACCTTCCAAATTTTTAAATTTTCAACTTTCGCCAAATAGAGCCAAATCAACTTAGGAACCTCCAAATTCGGATATATGCCCATGTCCAAAATCACCATATAAACCTATTGAAACCTTCAAAACACCATTCTGAGGTCTTTTACTCGAAGATCAAACCTCGGTCAACTCTTATAACTTAAGCTTCCAACCTTGGAACTAAGTGTTCAAATTCACTCCAAAACGTCCCTGAAACAAAATCAACCATTCATGCAAGTCACATAACAACAAATGTACATATGGGAGGAATCAAATAGGGGAACGAAGCTCAAATACACGAAAATACTAGTTGGGTTGTTACATCGTTCTCCCCTAGAGTCGCAAATGCGACATGAAAGCAACCAAAGTTTCGCAAATGTGAAGCTGTCCAGCCCCTACCCAACATCATAAATATGAGCTAGCACTTGCAACTGTGAGGTTCACATTTGCTAGCAGACTCTTGCAAATGCGAGGCCTGCAGCACCAACAAATTTCAAATCCTAGCAAATCAGCCTGAAACTCACCTGAGCCCCTCGGAATCTAATTCGAACATTCACATAAGTATAATAACATCATATGTACTCGCTCATAAGCTCAAATCATCAAAATTACATATAAAATCAAGAATCAAACACCAAAACTCAAAGAACTACAAAGTTCATACTTCAAATTTCCAACTTGTCACATTAAGCGCCGAAACGGCCTCGGGTCATCCGAGACCCCAGCCAAACATGTGTATAAGTTCAAAATCATCATAAGAAAACATCGATCCAGGGTCATTACCAAAAATATTGACTGTGGTCAACTCTAGCCATTTTCAAGTTCAAAAATCAAGTTTTCTTTAAAACTTCACCTTTAATCTTTCTGGAAATTAATACGGACCACACACGCAAGTCATAAATCATAAAATAGCGCTATAAAGGGTCTCAAATCATAAAAAGGGAGCTAGTAATCAAAATGACCTATTAGGTCATTACATTCTTCACTTCTAAAAGAAATAATAGTCCTCGAATGGACAAAGAAATGTACCTGGACTAGTAAAGAGATGTGAATATCTACTCGTGATGTCGGACTCGGACTCCCAAGTAGCCTCCTTGGTCGTCTGAGCTCTCCAATGGACTTTTACAAAGTAAATATCCTTAGATCTCAACTTTCAAACCTGCCGATCTAGAATAGATACCGACTCTTCTTCATAAGTCAAATCCTCATCAAGATGAACCGTGCTGAAGTCCAAAACATGAGACTTATCTTCATCGTACTTCAAAAGCATAGAAACATGAAATATCATATGTGACCCATCTAGGCTAGGAGGTAATGCAAGTCTATAAGCAACCTCCCCGACTCTCTCCAAGATCTCGAATGGGCCAATGAACCTTGGGCTCAACTTGCCCTTCTTTCCAAATCTCATCACGCCCTTCATAGGCGAAACTCGGAGAAGAACCTTCTTACCCACCATGTACACCATATCACGATCCTTCATATCAGCATAACTCTTTTGCCTGGACTATGTTGTACGAAGCTGCTCTAGAATCAATTTTACCTTCTTCAAAGCCATCTAGGGGTAGAGAAGGTGAAGTTGATTCAAGAACGGCTTTGGACAGCTTAGAGTAGGCACAAGATTTATGCGGACAAGAAAGTTCGTGATGTGGCATTTATGGAGGGCGAGAAGATACTTTTGAAGGTTACACCCATAAAATGTGTGATGAGGTTTGGAAAGAAGGTAAAGTTGAGTCCGAGGTTTATTGGGCCATTTGAGGTGTTGGAGAGAGTTATTGAGGTTTCTTATAGGGTTGATTTGCCTCCTAACCTATCGGGGGTACATCCGGTATTTCATGTTTCTATGTTTTGAAGGTATAATAAAGATAAATCACATGATTTGGATTTCAGCACAATGCATCTAGATAAGAATTTTGCCTATGAAGAAGAGCCGATAGTTATTCTGGACAGGCAGATTCAGAAGTTGAGGTCAAAGGAGATCGCTTCGATGAAGGTGTTCTGGAAAGGACAATGGAGCGAGGAGGCTACTGGGAGACCATGTCAGGCATGAAGAGCAGATATCCACATCTTTTCGTCCATCCAGTATAATTCTAAACTCATTTGAGGATGAACGTTTGTGTAAGAAGTAGCAAATATAATGATCCGACCAGTCATTTTCAGTTGTCGAGACCCATTTCCCTATTTGATGCTTCCCATAGGTTGATTTGATATTTTATGACTTGTGGGGATGGAAAATTTTATTTTTTGGGAGGTTCGGGAATGATTTGCAATACACCGTTCCTAAGTTGAGGCTTAATGTTGGAAGAGTTGACCAAAGTCAACATTTTAGGTGAACAACCCTGGATTGGTATTTTGAGGGCTCCAAAAGGTTTGTATGTTGACTTTTGAATTGTACGTATATTTGGTTCGGGTCTCATATGGCCCGGGGTTGATTCAACGATTCTAGTCAGAAGTTAGAATTTTGAACTTAAGAAAGTTTGAGATTTTTGATTTGATGCGCGATTCTGGTTTTGATGTTATTTTTAGTATTTTGAGCCATTAGACAAGTTTGTATAGGGTATACTGACTTGTTAGAATGATTTGGGGGCTCAGGTGAGTTTTGGAGTAGTTTTGAATCATTTTTAGCCAAGTTGAGTTTGCTGGTTTTCTGGTGTCAGGTAGTGAATCGCGATCGCGTGGCTTGTGTTGCGATTGTGTAGAAGGGGAGTCCAGCTGGAGTTCACGATCGTATGGAGTAGTCCATGGTCGCGTAGCTTTGGCAGGAATGAATCACGATCATGTGGGAGGTCATACGATCACGTAGAGGGCTAGCCAGTTGTGGAACTCAGTGCTTCGCGATCACATGAACTAGAATCCACGATCACGATATGTAAATTTCTGACAGGGGAAGTTTAAGTCCAAATTTTGGGATTTAGCTTATTTTTACCATTTTTGAGTTTGGAGAACGAGAGTAGGAGATTTTGAGGGATTTCACCGCATTCTTTTATACTTGTATTTGATCATATATATTGATTTGCAATGGATTTATACACCTAAAATGTGGAATTTAAAAGTGAAACTTGGGGTTTTTTTACTACAATTTAAGAGAGTGTAATTTGAGTTTTTGAACACCGATTTGGACTCAGATTGGGAAACAAATCACATATTTGAACTCGTAGGGTTATTGGTCAACGAGATTTGACCTTGGACTTGAGTTTTGATCATGTGGGCTCGGGTTGACTTTTGTTGACTTTTTGAAATTTCATTGAAGATTGAAGTTTTACGATTCAAATCACACTAAGTCATGATGGCACCTAACCGAACCCGCTAGGTAAGCTAATTAATATATATCATCATCCTAAATGATAATCATCGATAAATAAAGAAATAAGAATGTAGAAATTAATATAACTATCCTTAAGAATTGATAGTACAAGTCATGAGCAACTAAGATTTGGAATTTACAACGTTGGCAAGAAGAAATACATCATATGTTTGAATATACATAAACAGAAAATAATTCTAAACTACCATGAACAAGATGGTAGTTAAAGACTGGAACGTTGAAGTCTTCGATGTACATCCTCGAACTTTGTAGCCGCTTAGCTCCAAAATTTGCATATAAGGTGTAGAAGTGTAGTATGAGTAGAACCAATCCAATATACTCAGTAAGTATCTTAAGTGACCTCAGCAAAATATTAGCGAGGTTTAGACAAAAGATACTCACTTTGTGTAACATGTGCAGCTCATAAGCGGTATACAATAACAAAAAATAGCCAAGAAATAGCTAATAAATAGCGGATATCAACAAGAAGGTGCACATTGAAGGAAGAAGATAACAACATGTTTTTTTTATTATAAATAAACAGGTCAAAAGCATATATGAATGTACCAAATCCATATACAAAGGAGATGTATACCAAGTAATATTTACTCGAATACTTCTACGTGAATATAGACTGTGTATGTGGGTACAAGATTCAATTTCACATCAACTTTCAAATAGCATTTATATGAATGCGTCTACATGAATATGAAATGTTAATGCATGACCAAAACTCATATAATTAATCATATCACTGAAAGGACCACACAAGAGTCATAATCATATCAAATCACACAAAAACACCTATTGTGCTAATAACTCTCATCCTCATCGCATGAAAACACTCATCGTGCCAATAACTCTAACCCTCACATGCACAAAAAAATAATGTGCCAATAACTCTCATCCTTATTATGCATATTTGTAACGGTAACAAATAAGGTAAGATGCATATGTGTAATAATAACAAATAAGGAAGGATACATATATGTAACAGTAGCAATAAAGGTAGGATGCATATATGTAACAATAGCAATAAAGGTAGGATACATATATTGTAACAGTGGCAAACAAGGTAGGATGCGTATATGTAATAGTAACAAATAAGGTAGGATAAATATATGTGTATATGAGGAATAAACATAATATAATGCATGACTCCCATCTTCGCCTGCACTGAAGCATTCATCGTACATGAACTCTCATCCTCACTGTACAGAAATACCCATCATGCCACTATTATATCATATTGCATGGAAACACCCATCGTGCTAATATCATATCAAAACGCATGGAAATACCCATCGTGCTAATATCTCTAATCCTCATCTGCATGGAAATACTCTTCCTGCAATATCACTCATCCTCATAGCATGAAAACACCCATCCTGCACTATCACTCATCCTCACAATACGAAAATACCCTTTCGTGCAAAAACTTACAATCTTTATCTTTTAAAGTGAGCCCAACATACTAGTAAGAAAACTTTATTAAGGACCAAGACACCACAGAAAGCTCAAATGCAAAAGCTATCCAATTTAACGTGTTAACAGGTTTTCAAGAAGAAATGAAAGCAAATAACAGCAGGTAATCACATAGTACACAAGCATCAAATATCCCTTATCCCAAGTAGCCTCGTTTCACTATTACATTCAGTTATTACATGCTATCTGAATAAAGCTTATAACTATAGTCTAGGAAATTAACTAACTGAACTTCAAACTTTGGCAGACTCCTCATAGACTCTTATGAGCTTTCCTAATCCCCCTGTTACTCCAAACTCAGGTGTGAAGAGTTGAACTTTGGCCAAAATTGTCAAGTCTAGGCCCCTACAACCGAACAGAAGCAACAAACGCACATAGCAAATACAGCGCACAAATAGAATAAAAGAGACGAAAATTTTAAGAGAGCAGAGGACAAAAAACTAGTCTATTCTACCATACAATTAACATAAAGAAATTATGATGCGTCGTTCACGGAACTAACCAGTTGGAGAGCGGAATAACAATATAATAAGAAGATTAGAAATCCAATAACTTCAACAGCAACAAATAAGCCAGATACTCTCCAAAGTATGCAGTAATACGTGCGAAAATTTGAACAACAATAATGAGAAACCAATACTCGAATTCGATACATCCAGATTGTATCAAACTAATTAAAAAACCAAGCTTTGCCTTGACTTATGGTCGGCAAAGCATAGAAGTAGCGAAAAGAAAAAAAAAACTATAGTAGCAGTGAAGCAGAGGTTAAAGCAGTGATCAAAAGCCTCCCTCCACTGCCTTAACAATAGTAGTACTTATAGCTAAAAAATTATTAATGCTCTAAGTTAAAAGAACAGAAATTAAGGCTAAAAATTAGTGTTTGACATAATCAATTAGCAGAAATCGGAGGCCACAACTTTGGGAAAAATGTGATTCTTTCTATATATAAAAAAGTATATGTCAAATTCGACCACTATATAATTAGAGCAAGAAATCATGTCAAGAAGGAAAGAAACTTACAAGATTGAGATTCTCTGAAAAAATTATATCAAATCAAACTTGATAATAGAGAGAGTGAAACTCGCGAGAAATTCGAAATTCTTAACTATATGGTGACATCTTGAACATAGACTGATTCTCCAAAGAGATTCGTACCCAAATCTTCTGCTAAAATTCGTTCTTTAAGAGAAGAAATACTTTATGATTTGAGTAATTAGGGAAGAGATTGTCTATGATAATTAGTAAGAAATGAGTAGGATAATTAAGGCAAGAAAATAAAATTTAAAGAAAAAAGGAAAGAGAGAAAAGCTAAATACAGTAAATTATTTTATTTTATTATATTATATAGAAAAGCCAAGTATGATCGACCAATGGCATAATTATAAATTTTGCTCAAGGGTAAAACTGTCATTTCACTCAATCAATAACTCCATTAATATTTCATGTTCTCTGAAAATTGACTGCTTCTCGATTGTTCTTCAGCATTTTCATTTCATGTTCTCTGAAAATTGACTGCTTCTCGATTGTTCTTCAGCATTTTCTTCTCNTGCTTCTCGATTGTTCTTCAGCATTTTCATTTCATGTTCTCTGAAAATTGACTGCTTCTCGATTGTTCTTCAGCATTTTCTTCTCTTCAATCTTCTCCTCACTTCTTTCTTTCGACCTTTCTACTTTGGGTATTACAAATTCAGGTTAGTGTCTCTTCTATTTTTGATTTTATTTGTTTTTTCTATTTTATTTTTCATATTTTGTCTGCGATTCTCCTTTGTTGTTGCTGCTCTTTATTTTCGATTTTTTTTGTGTGCCCTTTGTTTCTCTTTATATCTCATGCCATTTGTTTTCATATGCAAGATATCTACCAATATACTTTCTACTTTAAGTTGTGGTCTAAGCAATTGGATTAAGATTTCAATTAATTTGATTTTTATTTCCTTTTTGTTTGGTCTTCTCAACTCAAATTTCACTTTACTCTTTTCTAAAGACTTGTTCTTTAGAAAAATATTCCCTAAATAGCTGCAGAGATATCGAATACGAATAAAAATCATAAAAATAAGCAAACATTGGAAAAAATATAATTTGACAAAAGAGGCCCTTTAGCATGAGATGAGGAAGCAGAATTGAATTGAAAATGCGGCGTCTTTCTGATAGTTCAATTAACGTTGAATAATCTAATGCTTCGTGCTCTGATTCTGCCAATGTTTCTATCAATCAGAGCTCTCTTATCATTAAAAATTTATCACTTCTTGCAAACAGGTTAATATCAAGCACAAAACATAAACTGCATACTAGAGAGTCAGAGATGATAATAAATCAAGATTGTTTAAAAATATTCTGTTAGGAACAATATTATTTACCTCTTTTTCAAGCTGCTATCTTTTTGTATCAAAGTTCTAATATTTTGGGTGTGATTTCAGAGAAATTTGTTGCTCGAGTAGCACGCACAACTAGCTTCTCCAACTAGCTGAATTTAGGTAGGTTATTGTCTTTGTTTCACTTTTATAGTAGATTTAGTGGTTTGCTTTTTCTCCCATGTTACATTGCCTCATCTTTTTTTTACTGTGATAAGTTGCTTCTCTTTACATGTTGGAAATTAGTACCTGACTGTTCTTTTTTGCTTCCCGTTTATAGGTTCTACTTGGAAGGGTTTTAGCTGTGTTACTTAGTCTCTGAAGACAAGGGAAGACTTAAAGTTGTCAATGAATACGGAAAGTTGAATTTGTCTCTAGAAATACCTTTGAATTGCTTGTGCTCGAACCTAATAAGGAGCCACAAGATGATGTTTAGGAAAGAAGATGATCGACCTATTAAAAGAATTTATAATACCACCTGAAAATGGCCTTCAATGGCGGCATTTAAAATCTTGATCAGTTACATTAACTTTGACGTGTACCTCTACATTTGTCCAACTGGATTTTTTAAATTATTTGCAATAATCAATACCAGAGAAGTTTGAAATATAAGAGGCATCCTAGCTTCAACACACATAATGTCATTATTAATTGTCTACATGAGATAGTTACAACGTCCAATTTTGGTAAAAGTAACTCTTCTTGATTTTCTTGTATAATAATTTGGCTGATGGTACATTTGAAAACAGAGAAGTAATTGTTTTATAATAAGAGGTGTAATTATGTTTCATCAAAAGTAGTTAGGATTGGTATATTATTATTCTTTATCTTCTTTGCTTCTGTTAGAGTTGAAAACTTTGAAAATTATAGAAGGTTTACAACTTTTATACTATAAAGTTAAAATTGTAATGGCCTAAGTAGGACAGAGGGTATCAAGCTTATTCTGAAATTTACTTGAGAAGAACATTGGGATAACGATAATATCAAGGGAACTTAACATTTTGATAGTTTTTTCTTTTACTTAGTTCTGTGGAGATATTATTTGAACCAAATCCTGAATTTTTGTTTATTAAAAATTTCTCTTCAACAATTAGATTCCTTTGTTCATAGGCAGAGTTACAACTATATATGGTAATTAAGGACAATGCCTTGAAAAAAGGTATGCCAATTACCAATAAAACTTGTAATGATCTATCCTTGTTACATTAAATTTTTAAATTATTCAATCTCTTTCACAACCTGGAGTCTTCCAACAATTGTGAAAGCCAAATATGAGCTTTCTACAAACAACTCCAGGAAAGCTATAAAAAATTTAACAAATTTCACAACAATCTGTTTTTAGGGACTAATGTACCTACAGACACATTATTTTTTGTGGTTAACGTCTGATTTTTCAAGTAGTAAGATATTATTTCTAGATTGAACAACATGATTTAAAAGGGTAGGTAGGTAGTAATATTGTCATATTAATTAATACATTATGTTATACGGGTTCTCAAACCTGATCTTTTTTCATAATTCTACAAATGTCCATATCTTTTGTTAATATGTAAATAGAACTCCGATGTAAAAATTGTGCAACTTTCGAAGTAGAGTTTATTACTTTTGTCAATATGTAAATAGAATATGCAAATAGTACTCTCATGTATGTTAAAATTGTGCAACTTTTCAATGAGGTCTCTGTATCTTTTTCGCAATTTCGTATCATAACAAAGTTAATTGTGAATGATGATTTCAAGTTTTACAGTATTGGGCTCGTGCTATGCACGCGCACTAACCATATAGTGACTCAAATAATTGAAAGAGGGGAATATGGGTGTTCGGTGATGGGGTTGACGGGAATTTGGGGAAGAAGATCTGGAATAGTTTTGGGATTCATTGGTTAGATGAGAGATTTTACTTTGGTGGGCTATGGGGCTGGAAGATAGGCTAAAAGGAGATGGATTTTGGGCTTAATTGATCTTTTGGGCTAGGCGTAAGGTTGATAATTGAACTACTATTAAATTAAAATTCTATAATAATAAAGTAATTAGGAATAATAGTTAGTACATAAAATAAGACACAAAAAGTTAAAAAAAACAAATACTATTTTATATAATTATTTGAACAAGTTAAAAAAATAAATTTCTAATGCTTTATATTTTAAAAAGTTGCTAATACGTAATAACAAAAACATTATAGAAAATATAATAACAGCAACAACAACAACAACAACAATAATAATAATAATAATAATAATAATAATAATAATAATAATAATAATAAAAGTTGTATTACTTGTAATAATACATAAAAACAATATAAATATTATTATGACTTTTAAATAAAATAGTAGCTCATTCGAATAATATGGAGTAAAGATGGACAAAATTGGGTGTCAACAATGAGGTTAGATAGGGTACAAATTTGGTTCGTGATGCTTTGGATAAGGTGAAGTTGATTCAGGAGCGATTTCATCCAGTTCAGTCCAGGCAGAAGAGTTATGCAGACAGAAAGGTTTGTGATATGGCATTTATCGAGGGTGAAAAAGTACTTTTGAGATTTCACCCATGAAGGGCATGATGAGTTTTGGAAAGAAAGGCTAGTTGATTCCAAGATTTATTGGTCCATTTAAGGTATTAGAGCGAGTTGGTGAGGTTGCTTATAGGCTTACTTTGCCTCCTCATCTATCAGGAGTTTATCTGATATTTCATAGTTCTATACTCCAAAAGTATCATAAAGACAAGTCGCACATTTTGGACTTCAGCATAGTGCAGTTAGATGAGAATCTGGCTTGTGATGAAGAATATGTGGCCATTTTGGATAGGCAGGTTTGAAAGTTCATGTCAAAGGAGATAGCATCGGTGAAGGTGCTTTGGAGAGGCCAACTAAGCGAGGAGGCAACTTGGGAGACCGAGTCAGATATGTAGAGCAGATATCCACACCTTTTCGGCAACTCATGTACATTTCTAAACTCGTTCGAGGATGATCATTTGTTTAAGAGGTGGAGAAGGTAACGAACCGACCGGTCGTTTTGAGTTCTAGAATCCCAATTCTCTATTTGATGATTTTTGTATGCTTGTTTGATGTTTTATGACATGTAGGGATGGGTGGTTTCATTACCGAGAGGTTCGAGAGTGAGTTGGAATACTTAGTTTCATTTTGGGAAGCCTTAAGTTGTAAGAGTTTACCAAGATTTGACTTTTGGGTTAACAACCCCGGATTAGTGATTTGAATATTCCAATAGGTTTATGTGATGATTTTAGACTTGGGCGCATGTTCGGATTTATTTTTGGAGGTTTCTAGGAGGATTCAGCACCATTTATTGAAAGTTGACATTTTGAAGGATTTAGAGTTCATAAGTTTGATCAATAAGTGAATTTGATTTTATCAGACTCTGATTGGTATTCCAGGAATGTGGATAGGTTTGTGTAGTTAAAATAAACTTGTGTGCAAAGGTTAGTTGAGATCTTAGCTATCTAGGTATGAATCATATGCTTGGTTGGAAATATACAAGTTTATGAACTTAAGAGAAGTTCAATATATGGTTTGGCTTTTGATTCTTTGATGCGATGATTTCGCATGTGTTCTGGATAGTATTTATGGACTTTGTTGGAATGTTTGGATGGGATCCCAGGGAGCTCGAGTGAGTTTCAGACCACTCTGAGCATTTGTGGAGATTTTGATTTCTGGTGTCATGGAAGTTCTTTGCGATCGCGAGGGAGGTCCCGCGATCGTGTAAAATGGCAATGTCAGTTGGGAGATTATTCTTCGCAATCGTGTGGGTGAGGTATGTGATTGTGATGTGTTATTTTTGGGTGTGTGCTACGCGTTCACTAGAGGATTTGTGCGATCGCGTAAAAAAGTCTGAGGGTCAGGAGCGCGTGCTTCGCGATCACGTGGTTACGTTCGCGATCGTGAAGGAGAGTCAGGTGGAGCTTCGCGATTGCATGGGTCTGTCTGTGATCGCATAATAGGAAGGTCGGGCAATGGACTTTTGTGCATCGCCAGCACATGGGTAGTGACCGTGATAGTGAAGGGTAATGCTGGCAGGGGTATTTTAAGTCCAAATTTGGGGTTAGCTCATGTTTCACCATTTTTGAGTTTTGGAGAACGTGAAGAGAACATTTTGAAGAGGGGTTTCACTACAATTTGGAGGTAAGTAATTTTCACTTAAATTTGATCATATATCTTAATTCCCCATGGATTTCTACATCCAAAATATGAAAATTTAAAGTGAAATTTAGGTTTTTTGTCTATAACATAAGAGAGTGTAATTTGAGGTTTTAGTCATTGATTTGGACATAGATTTGAAAACTAAATATATATTTGGACTCATGAGTTATGGCTAAACAGGATTTACCCCTAAACTCGGGCTTTGACCATGTAGGCCCATGTTGACTTTGTTGACTTTTTGAAAGTTGATTAAAGATTGAAGCTTTATTGTTTGAAATTAGTTCCTATGATTTTATTTGACCTTATTGAGTATTATTTGGTTAGATTTGAGCCAATTGGAGATGATTTTTTAAAGAAAAGGTGATTTTGGAGGGTTGATTTAGCTTCCAAAGGTAAGTATCTCGCCTAGACTTGGCTTGAGAGAATATACCTTAAATAATTGGCCCTATTTGATTAATTGTTATGTATTAGGTCATTATATATGCGTGGTGGCAAGAGTATATGTGAGTGCCATGGGATATTCATGTTCGGGGTAGATTTTAGGCTACTTTATGCTTTGAATTTACATCATATGCTATTTATGACTTATTGTTGTCCTTGTATGGCTACATGATCTATCTTAATCATGCTAGAAACCATGTTTAGCCTGTTTAGTACCTTATTGACCGTAAGTTGCAATTTGTGATATCATGTCATACTTGTGTAACAACCCAACTAGTCATTTTGAGTTCTATTATTTTGTTCTATGATTTGAGACCTTGAGTGGCTTCAAATAATGTATTATGACTTGCGAGTATGGTTTGTTTTAATTTTCAAGAGGTTCAGGAGTGGTTTGGAAGAGTAATTCTTAATTAGGAAGCTTTAAGTTGGAAGAGTTGAGCAAAGTTTGACTTTTGTATAAACGACACTGGATTAGTGATTTAAAGGTTTCACTTGGTTCGTATGATAATTTTAAACTTGAATGTAAGTTTTGTTTGGGCCTCAAGTGGCTCGGGGTTGATTTGACACTTCTATTCGAAAGTTGGCAAGTTGAAGAATTGGAGAGTTCATAGGCTTAACCGACAGTTAACTTTGATATTTTTCTGACTCCGATTGTTGTTCCGGGGCTGAGAATAGGTTCGCATTGTTGAATGAAAATTTTGTGCAAAGTTTGTCGAGATCCAAAGTGCCTAGGTATGAATTGGACGCTTGGTTAGAAGTTGAGAAGTTTATGAACTTAAGAGAGTTCAACATGTGGTTTGGCCCTCTATTCTTAGATGTAATATATTTTTATGTATTTTGAGTCTTTGGACAAATTTGAATAAGGTGTATGAACTTGTTAGGATGATTGGACGGGGTCCCAAGGGGCTCGGGTGAGTTTCGAAGTGGCTTCAAACCATTTCGAACCAAGTTGGGATTATTGGTTTTCTGGTGTATTGTAGTGAATCGTGATCGCGGAGAAGGAAGGTGGAGACAACATGTCTGTTGCTACGAGATTGTGGGAAGAGGTTTGCGATCGCGGAGTGTAGCCGTGTGGTGCATAGCAGGTAGTGTGGTCGCATAGAAGGCTGGGGTGGGAGGATGTTGATTCATCGAGATCGCGGGGTAGCTTCGCGTATGCTTTCCTGATGAAGATTTGCAATCGCGT